TCTTGACCATTAACCTTTTTGGTCCCCTACTTCCACTCCCCTACAATCAACTTTTGAAAACAACCAGAGTAAACTTTTAATAATATATTCACATTAGATTAGTAGTTTTTTTTTTTTTTTAATTATTGGCTTCCTGTTCCTTCTACAACAAAACTTGAACACTTTGCCATGGTTGATGAAGCTCTCTATGAACTGTTTCTGCGCATCTCTTTCCTCCTGTTTTACCATGGCCTCTCTATCGCTTGAGATTGTCAGAGTCTTTGTACTAGCTGTTTTCTGTCTAGCAGTTTTCCCTCCAGTCTCCATGTCAGTGGGTCTTTCTTATATTTCAACATTCTACTCAACTACCACCTTCAAGTGGCCTTCTCTGTCATACTCTCCAGGAAATCACTCACACCATTACAAATACCCTTTATAAATTATATCATCCCAATTTACTTGTTTCTTCCAACCACTTATATGTTCTATATTTATGTGGTTTATTTATCCTCTAGAGTCTCTCCCTTCAAAATCTAAACTGCACAAGAGCTCTGTGCTATTACACATCATATCTCTGTTCAATTTATCAACATATCTTCAATGCTTACTCAGTTCTTAGAATAGAATAAGGGCTCAGCAAGTGTGGATGAATGCCTATCCCACATCTACACGTAAAATAACCTAAAGACCTTGATCAAATGCTCTTTTTGTAGACTGAGGTCACAATGGCAGGAAATTATCAATGTTTGAGGTCCCTCCTCAACTTTCCCCCTGAATTTCCCCTAAATATGCCAAGAGATATGTGTAAATTTTAATTAATCAGGAAATTATTTTTTTGTCACAGCAATTCCCATTTAGCAAAGTTCAGATGATACTCAATGTGAAATACAGAGATCTATGAACACTCTGAGATATGAGTTCAAAATGTCCAGAGGGAAGCTGGTTCTATATTCAGGACTTTTAGAGTTTATATAACTAAATTCCAAGAAGTCATGGGAGTCAGGATGCACTTGGGATTTTTACAGGACAATTAGAAATGGTGTTTATAATAAATCCAATATTACATTTACACCTTAAAAGATAGGGCAAGAGGTGATATTGTCTCCTACCTCCATTAAAGGTGAAAATGTGAAGCCATGTGTTGCTGAGACCACTCCTGTATTTAGAATGTGACAAGATCAAATGGAAGCCTGTAAACCTGAATAGCCTTGCCCTGGAGGACCTTTTCATATGTTATGGTGATGGACTGAATAATTAGCAATGACCGAATGAAATTATAAATTCATTTAGACCAAATCTAAATTCCAATGAAATTCTTTTATGGTCATTTGCTGTGAGGGGTCCATAGCCACATACTAGGGGTGGAATGTGATATAATAGAAATAAATCTTTGGTCTCTCCCCAGTTCCTAACACAGGGCTCTAAAACTCTTGTAAGTTCCTGAAAGACAGGAGTGCTAGATGCATCTTTTGTTCAAATATTTGTTCTTTAACCCTGGTTCCTGATACAGGGCTCCTAAACCCTTGGAACTTCCTGGTGGGTATCATTTGTTGGAATGAGGAGACCCTCGGTGGAATTCTGTATAGCTTCTGGATGAGAGATGGTCATCAATAAGACCAAACTATGATAAGAAGCTTGGAACTTTATGCCCACACCCTATTCTGAAGGGAGGATGGAGAGGATGAAGACTGATTACATAGCCTCCATGAAAATACTAAACTGTGTGGTGCTTCCAAATTGTTGAACAGATCCACACGCTGGAAGGGTTATACACTCCAGCTTTCTGGTGATGGACACTCCTACCCTGGAAACCCTTTCAGACCTGGTGGATTATATCTCTCCATCTAACTGTTAATTTGTCCTTTACGATATCATTTATGATAAACTGGAAAATGTAAGCAAATGTTTTCAGGAGGTTTGTGAACCCATCCCAGCAAATGATCAAACCTGGAAGAGTGCTGTGGGACTCCATGGCTTTGTAGCCAAGTTGGACAGAAGTGTGGGTACCCTGGAGACCTGTTGCTTACAGCTGGTGTCTGGAGGCAGGTCAGAGTTGTGGAACTGAGCCTTAAATCTGTGAAATCTGACACTACCTCCAAACAGTTATGTCACAACTGAAAGAAAGAATAGAGCATCAAGTTCATATCTGGGTATTTTGACTACATATTCTTTTTCAATTGGTTGGTATGGAAGGCAAAATCACTACACATTTTTGTAAGATGTGCTGTAAGTGGAGAATCATGGATCCCATTAACCATTATTTAATAATTTTATGTGTTTTAAATGATCTTTGTTACCTTTTAGTATTTGTTATATATTTTCCACTTAAAATTTGTGCTATTATAGATAGGACACATTTTATAGTGGTACATTATAAATATTTTCCATTTTATTAGTTTTGAAATTATGTTTTCCATGCCTCACTTATCTTGCTTCATTTTGCTGAGACAAGGACTTTTATGATCAAAGTGTTGCTTCCAGGTGCTTTAAAGAGTTGCCTCAGTATTTGTTCTATTAGGAATTCCTATACTCCAGAAAAATCTCTCCTCACCCTTTCCAGTAGTGATGTTAATATGGGTGGCTTATTATACAAGAAATACATTTTAGTACAATCTTAGACAACATTTCTAGCTTTTTAAATCGACTCTAATCTCTTAATAAATCTAGATTGTGGAACTATAACTATTGTTAACATATTAATAACAATGCTTAGAATTAAAAGATGCTCTTTAAAGTTCCTACAGATAAGGAAGACTACATTGTGCCAGATGGGAGTATTTGTTATTAATGTGTTTAAATATGAATAGACTTCCAGTCAAATCAGGTGATTGTGGCGTCCAGACCTTATTTTCTATAGATAGATAGAAATCAATCCAGTTTTCACATTCATTTCCTTTTTTTGGAGTCTTCACAACCTAGATCTTCTTGGGGTAGAGTTTGTTCAGAAGACTTAAGAAAGGAACCATTTAATCTTGCTGATCCTGCTCAGATCCTTTAGATCAGTAACAGTGCTGAGGTCATTGGACTGATTGTGGCTCAGAGTGTAGATCAAGGGCCTGGAATCCAAGGACTTGATGCTGTTAGATTGAGAAGAATTGAGTTCACTTCTCTCCAAACTCTTGGAACCCTCTAGCACTTGATATACTCATCTGTAAATTGAGGTAAATTTATGACACCAGGAACATGGGATTACTGTGAAAAGATTAATGGAGAAGCATAGTGGTTTTGAATCTAGGATATCTAGATTCAAACAGTGGTCCCACAACTTCCTAGCTGCATGATCTTGAGCAATCTACATGATGTCTCTGTGCCACAGATGGTTCATTTGTAAAATAGAAATAATAGTACTACTTCAGAGGGTTTGGGGGGCTTCGCTGGTAGTTCTGTCAGTATGCAGGAGATGCTGGTGCAATTCCTGGGTCTGGAAGGTCCCCTGAAGAAGGGCATGGCAACCCACGCCAATATTCTTGCCTGGAGAATTTCATGGGCAGAGGAACCTGGAGTGCTACAGGCCATGGGATTACAACTCCATGGGAGTTGGACATGACTGAACCAACTGAGTTCCCAAAGGATTTCTATGAGAAGTCAGCCAGTTAACATCCCAAGGTACTTAGAATAGGGTCTAGCACATTGGAAGTACAAATTTTGTTTGCCAAAGAAATGAAAGAAAAAGTCCTAGAAGCCCAAGGGTGTTAATACATAATAGTGATAATTATTAATATTATTTTTACAGATTTAAAGTGTCTCCCAGTTGGTTTACAAGTGTATAAAATTGAGAGTTAGAAGTAATACATTTTCAGTACAGCTATTGTGGAAAACAGTATGGAGGTTCCTCGGAAAACTAAAAATAGAGTTGGCATATGATCCAGCAATCCCCCTCCTGGGCATATATCCAGACAAAGCTATAATTAAAAAAGGTAATGCATCCCTATGTTTACAGTAGCACTATTTATAACCGCCAAGGCATGAAAACAACCTAAATGCCCATTGACGCATGAATAGATAAAGATGTGGTGTATATATACACATATACACCAAATAATGTCAATTAAAAGAGGCGTACTCCTTGGAAGGAAGTTATAACCAACCTACACAGCATATTAAAAAGCAGAGACATTACTTTGTCATAGAGGTCCATCTAGTCAAGGCTATGGTTCTTCCAGTAGTCATGTATGGATGTGAGAGTTGGATTATAAAGAAAACTGAGCACCAGAGAATTGATGCTTTTGAACTGTGGTGTTGGAGGAGACTCTTGAGAGTCCCTTGGACTGCAAGGAGATCCAGCCAGTCCATCCTAAAGGAGATCAGTCCTGGGTATTCATTGGAAGGACTGATGCTGAAGCTGAAACTCCAATAATTTGGCCACTTGATGCAACGAGCTGACTCATTTGAGAAGACCCTGATGTTGGGAAAGATTGAGGGCAGGAGGAGAAGGGGATGAGAGAAGATGAGATGGTTGGATGGCATCACCAACTCAATGGACATGAGTCTGGGTAAACTCTGGGAGTTGGTGATAGACAGGGAGGCCTGGCGTGCTACCATTCATGGGGTTGCAAAGAGTCAAACACGACTGAGCGAATGAACTGAACTGAATATCAGTTATGTGTGGAATCTAAAATAGGACACAAATGAATATATCTGCGAAGCAGAAACAGACTCTCAGACATCGAAGACAGACTTGTGGTTTCCAAGGGGGAAAGGGAGCAGAAGAGGGAAGGACTGGTAGTTTGGGATTGGCAGATTGAAACTAGTATATATACAAAGGATAAACAATAAGGTCCTACTGTATAGTGCAGGAACTATTAATATATATAATATCTTGTGATAAACCATAATGGGAAAAGAAGATGGAAAAGAATATATACATGAGTCACTCTGCTGTACATCAGAAATCACTACAACATTGTAAATCAACTATACTTCAATAAAAATTTTAAAAGTATTATGATTTCAATTTAAGCAATTGGTGTGATACTGCTAAACATAAATTTCTAGGTCACCTGAAATGTTAAGAATGGATCCTAAGAATATATTCTGACACTTGCCTTTCTCAGGGCCTCCTTTACGTCTCTGTTCCTCAGACTGTAGATGAGGGGGTTCAACATGGGGATCACCACTGTGTAGAACACAGACACCACTCTGTTCTGCTCAGTGGAATAGCTGGATTTGGGCATCACATAAATGAAGGTAATCGTTCCATAGTAGAGAGTGACTGCAGTGAGGTGAGAGGTGCAGGTGGAGAAGGCCTTGTGTCTCCCTTCAGTGGAGCGCATCTTCAGGATGGTGTTGAGGATGCAGATGTAAGAGAGAGCTATGACAAACACTGTGACCACAATGATGGAGCCAGAAGAGATGGAAGGGATAATTTCAGTGATGGAGACATCTGAGCAAGAAAGTTTCAACAGAGGGGAGAAATCACAGAAAAAGTGGTCTACCTTATTAGGCCCACAGAAAGACAGAGTCAGTAAGCAACTAGCAAATGTGCAAGCATTGACACACCCACCCAGGTAGGATACCCCAATCAAGAGAACACAGACTGTGGGGGACATGTGGGTGGAGTAGAGTAGGGGCAAGCAGATGGCCACATAGCGGTCATAGGCCATGGCAGCCAGCAGGAAGCACTCAGCTGTCCCAAATGTGACCACAGAACAGAGCTGGCCTTCACAGCCAGAAACAAGGAGGGCCAGTCTATGTCTGAGGAATCCTATAAGCATTATAGGTGTGACTGATGTGGAATACCCAATGTCTACAAAAGCCAAATGACTGAGGAAGAGGTACATAGGGGTGTGAAGGTGGGAAAAACTTCTTATTAAAGTGATTATGCTGATATTGCCTATTAAGGTGACAACATAAACGCCTAGAAATACCACAAAGAAGATAACACAAAGTGTAGGATCCTCTGTTAACCCCAAAAGGATGAACTCTTTCACACTGGTGTGGTTTCCAACTTCCATGTCCTCTGGGAATTGTTCCTGTTAAAGGAAATATGAATATTCATTTGTTTTATGCTTTCATTCTACACATTTCCAGTTTTCTCTGGCTGGTCCTAGATTTCTTTGGTTATTCCTCAGAGCCACTCATAGTGATTATTTCCTCTTCCTAGTCTGTAAATATGGGGCTGTAGATGATTTTATGATTATTTCTAAATCTACAATTTAGCTCCCCACTTTATTCATTTTTATTCTTCCACTGCTAGTGTCCCTACTTTAGCTGAGATCCTGTTCGTTTTTCTTTTATATTCATCTGTTTACCTCCTTGTCTTCATTCTTGTGTTCTTATAATTCACAATGTATCTGCCAAAGGAATCTCTTCCTGAAATTAAGAGCAAGTTTTGCCAAAGGGATTCTTTTAAGAATGTCATGATTTTTTCAGGCTTTAGGAGGAAACCTAACCTCTCTCGCACAGGAAAGTGTACACTTTCTGATGTATCTGCTGCATATAACTCTTTGCTTGTCTCTCTGGATTTTTCCATCCAACACTTGCACTAATCCAACCTTCCTGAGCTCTTTAGGATCTCCTTCATGAACTCTACCCTCTCTGGCCTTTAATCCTTGCTCTCCCACTTGGATTCCCTCAAACCTCCCACCGTCATACCATGGGTGACTTCTACTCATCCTTGAGATTCATTTATCTCCAAAGCCACCTCTGCTTTCTAAGAATTAATCAGAAAGCTTTCCTTTGTGTTGATATCACACTTTGAAAATGTCTAGATTGACATTGTTTATAAGTTATGGAGTTATGGGTTTTGTTGTTGTTGTTGTGTGTGTGTTTACGTTTCACTACCTCCAATTAATGTACATTCTCCTTAACAATGGTGTGTTTTATCCCTGTGTCACGAATGAGGAGTTCTTGGGATCAAAATGTGATGAAGAAAAACTTGTTAAATGAATTTATGCATGATTTATACAATATAATAATTATACTGTGGGGAACCAGAGATGAATAAAATTTAGGTTCCCTGTTGAGAGAAACCAAGTCTTGTAGAAAAGAAAGAGATTAAATATGTATTAGAGTATAGAAAGTCTGTTAGTGTGGCATAAGTAAAATAATTGCTTATGTTTTTCTAAATGAAAATTGAATAATTATGTTGGGGGAAAACACTTGTAAATTAAAGAAAATTCCTCTCAAATCTGGCTACTATCATACAACTTAACTATTACAAATTTGGTAATTATGGATGTGAGAGTTGGATTAGAAAGAAAGCTGAGCACTGAAGAATTGATGCTTTTGAGCTGTGGTGTTGGAGAAGACTCTTGAGAGTCCCTTGGATTGCAAGGAGATCCAACCAGTCCATCCTAAAGGAAATCAGTCCTGAATATTCATTGGAAGGACTGATGCAGAAGCTGAAACTCCAATACTTTGGCCACCTGATTCGAAAAACTGACCCATTTGAAAAGACCCTGATGCTGGGGAAAATTGAAGGCAGGAGGAGAAGGGGATGACAGAGGATGAGATGGTTGGATGGCATCACCGACTCAGTGAACATGAGATTGAGTAAACTACAGGAGTTGGCAATTGATTGGGAGGCCTGGGGTGCTGCAGTCCATGGGGCTGCAAAGAGTCGGACACGACTGAGCAACTGAACTGAATTATTTCCAGGAATTTTTTCCCCTTTGTTATATTTTAATATAACTATTATAACATTGCAGATGGAAGTTTATTATCATTATTTTTCTTTGCATTTCATATAAAAAGTTTGTTGTTGTTGTTTAGTTGCTAAGTCATGTTTGACTCTTTTGCTATGCCATGGACTGTAGCCCACAGGCTCCTCTCTCCATGGGATTTCCCAGGCTGGGAAACCCATGTCTCTTACATTGACTGTTGGGTTCTTTACCACTGAGCAGACAGGGAAGCCCATAAAAAGTTTATAATTCCTTACATTATAATTCCTCACATAGTGTTTGATAGCTTCGTAATTATGAGTCACTGGCCCCTGGTGGCTCAGACAATGAAGAATCTGCCTACAGCGCAGGAGACCCACGTTCGATCCCTGGGTTGGGAAGATCCCCTGGAGAAGCAAATGGCAACCCACTCCAGTACTTTTGCCTGGAGAATCCCATGTACAGAGGAGTCTGGTGGGCTACAGTCTATGCGGTCATAAGGAGTTGGACTCAACTGAGTGACTAACACTTCCACTTCCAGCCCTTCATTTAATTACCCACTGTTTTTGGACACATAACTGTTCTCAACTTTTAACTATCAGAACTATTGTAATCCCATATTTTGGATAAATTAATAGCAAGGCTAAGTATTATAAAATATCACACATTCCTATATACTTAAGGCATAATTCAAAAGTATATTCTGTGTTCTACATTGAGTATCCACATGATTTACAGTAATAAAAATACTAAATCAACATGCTAAACTATCTTCATTGTTTTAAGTCTTGGCTGTAGTTTCACTAAAGAGCTTAGTACTGTCTCCATGTTTTGTCATTGTGTTGGGACAAAGGCAAAGTTTTTCTGTTTTGAGACAGTCCTGAGAAAGTAGAATTAATGATAAATTATTAGGAGAATAAACAGTCTCCGAAATTACTAAAGTCCAATGTAATATTTTGGGCCATGTCAAAGATTCAGTGAAAATACTAAAAGAACATTATACTTATTAGAATGAGAAGCATAGAAATAATTTAAAAATGTTTCTTCAAGTATTATAAAATGAAATAAGTTAATCTGAGATTCAATCTATAGATTTGAAAATTTCACTTATGCACACATTTCTTTCCATTAATTTCAGCTAAATATCAATTCTTGTAGTTAAATTCTGAAGATCTACAAATTCTTTTTACCTGCATTTTCTTTTAATTTTTCACATATAGTTAAAAACAAAAGAAAATTTTACCTACTATTCAACTTTAACAATCATCAAAATCCATATTGATTTATTTTAATTATGAGACATCTATTAATAGTATTGACATATTTGGGACTTCTGAGGTGGCTCACTGGTAAAGAATCCCCCTGCCAATGCAGGAGATTCGGGAGACACAGGTTTGATCCCTGAGTCAGGAAGATCACCTGGAGAAGGAAATGGCAACCCACTACAGTCTTCTTGCCTGGGGAATCTCATTGACAGAGGAGCATGGCGGGCAGCAGTCTATGGTGCTGCAGAGTCAAACATGACTGAGCATGCATACAGGCACACATTGACATACTTGTAATCATGTTATATATTACATTTTGTAATTTGCATTTTCACTTAGTTTTATCAATCCAGTATGTCCCAATTTCCTGAGTAATCTTCATAACTGAAATGCTGGATAGAAGATATGTTCAGCTCCTAAGTGTGGTGTTCATGGAGCTTCATATTCTGTCTCTAATTTCTTTTCAAAACATATCTCCTTATATGCTTCCTTTCAGCTTGTGCTTTAGAGTCATATAATATTAACATTTTCTATTCAGTGTTATTGGTTCTAATTTTTGTAAAGAGACAATATTCTGCTAATAATATTATTTCAATTCTTAAAGTGTGAAACATTTAGCAAAAATGATAAATACCAATACAAATGTCTTCAAAATTCTTTAAAATTTCTTGCTTTAGAAAAGTATTTAGTATTTCTGATGGTGGGTCTTACTTTTTTGACAGAATGAACTGTGAGGTATAATGAATATTGTGAACTTACAGCTCATTAAAGAATGTCTTCTGATTGATCTTTATTAAATACTTTTAAATTAGCATAGTGACAGGCAAACTTTTTGCCAGGGGTATAAGCTCTATCACGAAAAATCTGGTTTTAGTTTTATCACTCGATCTTCTATGAGTTTAATGGCACAAACCATTTCCTTTCAGTATCAAAACACTGAAATATTTGAATACAGTTGGAAAACCTCCAGTACCTTCATTTCCCAAATTACCATTCATAGAATCTCTGCCTCCATTCCTCTTGTCTCACACTTTTCAGATCCCTCATGGTTCTGCTGTCAGCCTGTGAACGTACTCTCCTCTGAGGACTGAGCGAAGCACTCAGCACATGTGCTCTTTGCCTTGATTCAAGCAGAGTTCCAGGAGACCAACTCTACATTCACTGTGCGCACAGTGTGAGCTTCAGCCTGTGCTGACGGTAGTCATGGAGACTGGAGATGAGAAGCTCAGATCCTTCCAGTGTCCAACTGTTGTCACTTCCACATGACACTTAAATCTCTCTCTCAGTTCTTTGTTTTTGTAAAATGGGAATAATTGTCCCCATAAAGCAACTTTGTTGTGAAATGAAAAGAAATGATATCCACCTGCAAAATCTTTAAAGGTGTTTGGCCATACATTAGAGCTAAGTAAGTAACTATTTTCATTAAGTAAAAATGAAGAGTGGATAGATTTTCAATTATTTAAAATTTTTATGAGACGTATAAATTTTCTTTCAACCTATGTTGGAAGATTTTTCACAAATCCAAAAGAAGTCAGGAAGCATGATATCTGATGCCTTCTTAGTTCTGGACCATGTCATTCGTAGTTATATGCATAATCTAACAGCTGATTCTTGCCCTTTCCTTCCTCTCCACTGACTACCTATGGGTCTTTCTAGAGCTCTGTGGCATCCCATTTATGCTTCCCTATCTGGCTCAGGGATTCTGACTCTTCCCAATAGTTTCCCTCAATGAATGGGTTACATTTGATAATGATCAGGGGGGATAGGGCTAAGAGCCTTAAACCTGAA